ACCCCTCCCCCTCCCCCTCCCTTACAACCCCCCCTCCCGTCTCTCCAGCTATCCCTCCTTGTTGACACTATCTTGGGCAGTTTTGCTACAAGAACTTTTTTTAATTGTCTTCTTTTCCCTTTTTCTTCCACCTCCCACCCACCCTTACACCCCACAGCCCCATCTCTGCTTCTCAGGTCTTCTCTCTGAAGAAGCCCTGGGGACCTCTCCCTCCCCACCTTCACTGGATACATCTGATTCCAGCTTTGCCATAGGATACCAATGTCCCCAAGATGTCACAGGGCCAGACTTTCAATGTCAGCCGGTCTCTGGCTGGTGAATGTTTACACCTCTATTTCTGAGATGGTATTAGTTTGGGGGAGACTCTGAAGTAGGACCAAAAAGATCTGCCCTGAGGGGAGGGTGCAAAATCCCAGCAGGGAAGGCAGGACACAGCCCCAGGGCAAGGACTGGGAAGGGCAGGGTAAAAGGACATGGGGGTGGGAGCATGTTTGATTTTTCTAGAGATAAAGCTGGGAAGGATGGTAGTATTTTGGGATCCAAAGTGCTTTTGAAAAGCAAGAATAATGAGCCAAAAAACCCAACTCGATGACATTTAAAGGGAATAAATATAAAATTCTACATTTAGGCTTAAAAAAATCACTTATGTAAGCACAGCATGGAGAGGCTCTGGTGGAGAAAGACTGGGGGTTTTAGTTGGCCACAGGCTTTGCTGTAGCAACGTGATGCAGCTTCCAAAGACATTTATGTAATGTAATCACAGGCCACTTCGCTACAGCATCCTGGCCAGAAGCAAGAGGTGGTGGAGAGCCTTCTTTTATGCATAGAAGAGGCCACAATTGGAAAAGCCATCACACTTCATGCGGACTCCTACCTGGTGGTCCTCGGTGACCATTCTCATTTGCAGTGAAGATAGTAAACTTTTCCAAAGCCAGATCAAGTGAGAAATGCTCCTGAGTGTCCAATCTGAGGAAGAGATCTAAGGGAACCTGGCTCTATATTTACAGCCGCTAAAGGAGCGTCAGGTGGGAAGGGAATGAGCTTCTAGGGGACAGATTCCAGTTTGCATAAGAGACAACACAGAGCCAGATGGCTCAGCAAGCTTAGGTGCTTGCCACCAGGCCCGAGGACCTGAGTTAGATCCCCAGCTCTCATACTGTGGAGAGAACAGACTCCCACAAGTTGTCCTCTGACTGCCACATACATCCTGTGGTATATATGCTAGGGCGCACGCACACACACACACACACACACACACACATCAATGCAATACACAAAGGACTGGCCTTCTAACGAGGTGGTGAGCTTTCAACCCTGGGAGGTAATCAATTCAGCTAGCTGCCCATTACTTGGGAATGCTTAGGAGTTGGACAAGGAGACGATGAGAAGTGGGCAGCTGGACCAGATGATCCCTAGGATTGGTTTTAAGGTTAAGATTCTCAAAGGAGAGCAAGGGAAATAGAGGCTGGCAAACGGAGACGAGAGCTGACCAGAGAGAGGGGGACTCTTGGGGGAAAGAAGAGGGCTGTGGGGTAAGAGGCAGGAGAGGGAAGCTCGAGCTGCAGTCTCTTTGACTGACGATGCCTCTCCCCTCCCCACAGGAATGACATGCCAAGCTCGCAGCTCCTACCTGGTAGATGAAGTGCTGTGGGGCCACCGGTTCACATCTGTGCTCACCCTGGAGGACGGCTTCTATGAGGTGGACTATGCCAGCTTCCACGAGACCTTTGAGGTGCCCACACCCTCGTGCAGTGCCCGGGAGTTGGCGGAAGCTGCCGCCCGCCTCGATGCCCATCTCTACTGGTCCATCCCTAGCAGGCTGGATGAGAAGGTGGAGGAAGAGGGGGCTGGGGAGGGAGCAGGTGGGGGAGATGGAGCTGACAAGGAGCAGAATGGCTGCCTGCCACCCCCAGAGAGTGAGTCCAAGGTGTGACTGGTTTTCTCCAAACCCCTGTGGCAGACCAGGGGGCTAGACGCAGGTACGAGGAAGCTGCAGGATGGGGATGGAAGAAGAGGAGGCAGGCAATGTCCCAAGGCATGGCTAAAGTTGGGAGAGGCCCACTGAGTCCAGGATCCAGTAGGGAAGGAAGAAGTCCTGGTTTGAAGAGAAGAGAGGATGGGAATGAAAGAACCCATCAGTCTGTCTGTGTTTTGACCTTCACATCTGTTTGTGGGTGGATGGATGGACAGAAGGATGGGTTTACAGGGTTGAATGGGAAGGTGGAGCAGACAGAGACAGCCAAAGGACAGCTTGGGTGGCAAATGGATCAAGAGCTGGTGAAGCCAGTACTGCCTTAACCCCCCAGCACACCTTTGTGCGAAACCTACCAGTACCCTGTTCTTCCAGACAGAGGCGGCCTCAAACCAGGGGACACGGCTAAACCAGAGGGCCTGTCAGATGGACTGCTGCCCCTGCTCGTCTCCTCAGCTGGTCTCCCTATGTGTGACACACCTGTCTAGACAAAGTGGCCACTGTTGAGTCAGAGAAGAGAAAACTGGGTAGATGAGGGTATAGATAAGACCCTATCCAGCTTCACTACCCCACTATGACAGGGTCGGAAAAGTGTCCACAGCCTTAGCCCTCGGGGTATAGGGAAACAAGCCAAGGGGGTAGATGCTGAGCAGGAGCCCTGGAGCAGGACCAGGAGAGACCCAAGGACAACTATTTTTGTGGCAGTGGAGTGAAACCTTAAAGCAGAAGAAAGGTCATGGGAGGCTTAATAAGAGGTTTTATGAGGGAAGCCTGATCCTGGGGAAAGTAGCTTATCCTTGGGGCACAATGACAAGGGCCCATTCAAAATAGTGATTGGATATCCATCAGGTGTGGTATTCAAAGACCTGGTCATAACACCGGGGCACAGCACAGGTGGAGGTCAGAAACACCCACAGCAACTGAAGGAAGTGTGGCTCACACTAGGAGCCCACAGGAAGCTCTTAGGACAAGAAGAGGGTGTTAGCAACCAGGAAGCTAAGGCTTGAGTGAGGCAGGGGAAATGAGCTTTGTGTCACTCACCTGGAGGGCTTGTTAAAACAGATTGCTGGGTCCCACTCCCAACATTCTGACTCAGTAGGTCCGGGATGGAAACCAAAAATCTGCATGTCTAACTAGTTCCCGGATCTAACAGGTTCCCAGATCGAGCTGACACTGCTAGTCTGGGGACTACACTGGGCTGAGGCGTCTAAGCGGAGGAGAAGCTGCAGGCGCTAAAAAGAAGCCAGGGACCATTAAGAACAGAGAAATGAGAAGGGAAATGTCAGGGAAAGGGAGCCAGGTCCAGGCTGAAGAGCTTAACTTTGGGTCCCAGAACTGAAACGTCAGTGGTAATTGGCCAGTGACAGCGAGGTGGCATCTGGGAAGATGAGAGGACAACAGAAGCAGGTGGAAACAGTAAGAAGGCCTTTGGGGAACTCCTGAGGAGGCAGTGGGCAGCTGAGCTTCAATGGGCTTCAACATAAAAGACGATTAGCTAGCAGGACTGACAAGGCAAAACTGACTAGGGGAGAAAATGGAGCTTATACTTCCGGCTATCTGCTGCCTGCCCTCTTCCTGTCAGGACAGGGGACCCTGGAGATACATACTCCCATCCCATCCCCACTGCATCCTGGACTTGTCCCCAGTCGTCTCGGGATGGTGAGGGGAGAGCAATGGTGAGTTGAGGAGCAGAAGATCGGTCAAGGGACTTGAAGCTGGCCCCCTGGAGCTGAGTGTAGCCAGGGTGAACAGATCCTCTGACGGGGTTAGTTCAAACCTTGGCCCTGGCTATGCCCGCTCCTGTCCTTGAATAAAGGTCTGCTGCTCTACTCCAGGCTAAGAAGCCAGCATCCCATGGGGCACTATGACTCTCTCCCCAGTGCCCAGCTCAGCTTGGGTTCACTCAGGGGACGCAAGCTGTCACCTCTCCCCTTCAGTCTAACACTGGACTCAGGTTTCAGGACCACCTGGGTCACCCTCAAAAATGAGGTCCGTGGACATGTACGGGCTAGAGTCCCACATACACGTATTGACCTAGAACACAGGGAGCGTCCGGGGTTTGAATTCTGGGGAAAAGGTGGAGTCCGAGTAAGAGGGGGTGGGGTGCTTGGCATCCGCATACAGGGCATTAGACTGGAGACACTGAAGCTGCTCCTGGAAGTCACTGAGACGCCACCATTCAGGCACCACTGTCCAGGGCAGTCAGGAGACCTGTGTTCTACTGCCAGTGCTGACTGTCCCTAGTTACCCCTATGGCTCTCAGCAAGACACATTACTTCTCTGGGCCTCAGTTTCCTTATCTGTACAAAAAGAAAATGATACTTGGCAAACTCATAGTGCTCAATAAATGTTAAATTACTAAATGAAAAGGGAAGACTGGATGCCGCCTGAAGCACAGAACAGCCGAGACTCTCCGGACCCGAGAACCCTCAGGCAGGGAGATGCAGCGGCTCTGTGTACACAGAGGACACAGGACCTCCCGACTGCTGTTGTCCCTAAGTAGGCAGCTGTGTTCCGAGGCTCCCATTCTGCTGTAGTCAGAGAATAATTAAGGTCAGGATGACAAAGACTGAGGCCCCAGGGCCTGGTGGGAGGAGTCTGGCCCGAGACTAGCCCAACCAGGAGAATGAGACTGAGGAGGGTGTGCCCCAGTCTGGGGAGCCTAGAAAGACTCTCTGGATGCTGTGAAAAGGGCCAAGCTCAGCTGGAACTCACCCTCTCTTCCTATGTGGAAGCCCCATTAGGAGTTGGCTCCTCACTGACATTTTAGGCAACAGATGGGACCCAGGCATCCCCTCCTGCAGTGGGTGGGTAGCAAGGCCCACCAAGGACAGATGGTGTTTATGGTGGGAAAAGAGGCCTGGGTTGTCCAGAATAGGTTGTCAAGCCCCAACAATCTCCCTACTAACAACCACCCCCTCCCCACGCACCCCCGCTGCTGCCTTTTATAGCTTCGTGGCAAGGGAAAACACAACCAGGCCTGGATTTTATAAAACCAGTTTATTCACATTTTAAAAAAACAAAACAAAACAAAAACTAGTTTGAGGACAGGAACTGGCCTTCCTACAGCATGAGTGTGAGACCAAGGACAGAGAACCCGAGGAAAGGTGTGAGGAACTGGGGAGCCGCAGCTTCCACTCTAGGCAGGGACAGGACAAATAAATTAAAGGAGGGCTGGGCGGAGGAGGGGAGGGTATCTAGGCAACCGGAGGAGGAGCGGCGCTGGCTGGAAGACAGTTGACACCTGCAGAAACTAGAGAGAGTATGTGGAGAAGGCTGAGGACCAGGCTCCCTTTGGCCCTCACCCTGCTACATGACCCTGCAGGACTGACTGAGCTGGCAGCTTCTTGTCCAGATGGAGCACACAGGAAGCCCGAGGAAGATGGGACTTGGGGTACCCTTTCCCTCACCTGGGGTGCTACAGATCACCGCTTCCGCAGCCTCTTCATAAAGCAGCAGGTGATCGTAGCAAGGACGCTGGCGCCAGTGACTAGAGCAACTCCTGTACCCACCAACAGGGGCACGAATAGGGTATCCAGGGCTGGAAGAAAGATGGCTCTGCTCAGAGAGTGCCATGGTCCTCCACCGGCTGTCGTACAGTTCTCTGGCACTCTCCCCAGCAGGTTTTCCTGACTCAGTGGGCCATCCTTGCCCACCTACAACCGCACCAATCAGCACGGAGGTCAGTTTGGGGCTCTTCATGCAAAGGGATACAGGAAAAGGATAGCAGGGAAGACAGGAAAGCAGAAGGGGGCAAACACGGTTGGAGCAGATGAGTGGAGGGTAGTTTCCACTCACCATGTGTGTAAGGGTAGACTGTGACAGGTCCGGAGCGCGCACTGCCCGCCTGGTACCAGCTATAGTCCGCATGCTGCACCCAGGCGCTTGGGGCGCAGTGGTATATGCCTTCATCCTCAGGCCCCAAACTGTGTAGTCTTAGACGATGGCTCTTGGGTCCCACCAGCTCCACACTGACAGGACCCCCTCCAGGCCGGACTCCCAGCTCTGCCACACCATCCTGACCCACTCCACCCACAAGCTGAGCAGGGCCAGAACTTAACTCGCCCTCCTCTGGTCTCTCCACCCACCAGCTGGCGGCTAGTCGAAGCCCCGGGGGACCACCACGCACAGAGATGTTGCATAGCAGGGAGGCAGTCTCTCCCCGGTACACAGTACCCCCTGCGAGCCATGCCACGGCCTCCAGCACCACACCTGCAGAGCAAGGGACATGGGGGTTACAGGGTGAAGGCTCAGGGGCTAGGAAATAAATTCTGTAACCTCTGAACCCTGCCAAGGGTTCAGCTCTCACCTTCTTCCCTCACATGCACAGGGAGGGGCCGGGAACGAGCGCTGGCAGCTTCACGAAGCCGGGTCCCAGACCCTCGAACATAGGCTTTGGCGAGGCAGCGATAGGTGCCTGCATCACCAGGCCTGGCAGCCTCCAATCGTAGCCGGTAGGTTCTGGATGCCACTTTCTCCATGGCAATGTGGCGGCCCTCGTAGCCAGGGCCCAGGCTGCCTACACCTTCTGTGTCCAGCTGGGCCACCAGGCGGCCAGGCCCAGGAGCCCCTGCAGGAGCCATCTCCCAGCCCACCGAGTACGCAGCATGCCGGCCTGCTGGGGGCAGTGCCCCTGACACATTGCATAGCAGTTCCAAGGGTTCCCCTGGGCCAATCCGATGCTCACCAGGTCCCACTGTCACTGCTAGCTGGCTGGCTGAAACACAGCAGGGGAAGGAAGGAGTCACAGAGATGCCTGGGGCCCGTCCTCAATACCTCTTTGCAAAAAAACGTAGAGGCCTGTTATCTGTCCCTCACCCCAGGACCTGAATTTCACCCTTCCACCATAGCCCTTGTATCTCCACATTCAATATCTGAGCAGAGAAACCATGGATAGAGAGTGAGTAATGCCTGGACGGCTGGCTCACTCCAGGGAAGATGATGTAGCAGGATGATGGTCATGTAGCACCACCCCTGATGCCCACTGAGATACCCCCTCAGGGGGACATGTGACACTCACACAATGTCTGCACATCCACA